TTTTTTTTAAGATTTCTTCGGTTAAATTCCTTATTTACTATTTATTTAATTAAAAGACTGCATGATTAATGATTATTAATAATTATTATTGGAAGAAAACTACGATTCAAAAACATTAAACTAAACATAAGTATATTGAAAGTGTTTAATAAAAAAACAAGTTAAAGGTTTTTAAGAAGAAACTCAAAGTTTAATTTAGTTTTGTTAGTAGAAGTAGAAACATAAGTAATTAATAAAAATACTGAATAAATAATAAATGATAATGATGATTGTTAAGTATAAAAGCATATTTATAATTCGCATTGCAATACCAAAATTATGACTTTTTTAAGTTTTAGAAATTTCTCGAGAATTCGAGAATTCCCGGGAATTCCTAGTCGAGAATTCTCGTGACCCGAGAAAAAAAATAGGCCGAGAAATCAGAAACCCTATTCAAAACGAACTACTATATAATACATTATTTTTATAGTTGTTATAGTTAATTGAAAAAAGAGTCATGAATAGTTCGTTAGTTTAATCTTTTAGTTACAAAAATTACGACTTGAAAAGTTTACAGTTTCTCAAATTTACGAAACAATCAATAACATTTTCGTAATTTGTAGTAAGTTCCGAGATCACTAGAGACGTATCGTCTGCAAACAACGTTAGAGTGGAAGAGTCAAAATGTTGTACCATATCGTTAACATATAGCAAAAATATTAATGGCGATATTAATGGATCCCTGAGGTACTCCTAAGTCAATATTTCTAGTTTCCGAAGTAAACTCATATATGTATTTGTAACTGTGGTAATTTTATTTTCAAATTGCGTATAACTGAATCTATCTCTTTTCCAATAACAGGAATAAAGAAAAAAGTGTTATTTAGCATTACATCGGTAGTACAACTAGTAGATTTGCGATCACCAAAATGACTCTTCAACGTTTTTTCTGTAACTGTTGCAAAATAATCGACAAAGACGTTGACTAGCTGATAACGATTGGATTCTTATTATATTTTGCTAGGTGTTTGTGCCAATATTAAAACAAAAGTAAGAAAAGTACACAAAATTTATTAGAACGCTAAAAAGATCTATAATAATTATTCTCATTGTTCTATATTTTGCTGAGTAGATATTTAGATATTTTTATTTTGTTGGATGTGGTTAACGATATTATTAGATGGCATCTATTTGAATTTTTTATTTTAGTTACGAATATGGAGATTGTAAAAAATAAACTTTAAATGAAAGAAAATTAAATTTGTTATCGTAACATAAGGTTCCATTTAAAAAAAATTAAGTTGTTTGACACAGAACTTGAATTTTGAATGCCTGTATTTGAAATGTACTAAATAAGTGACGACAAGTTCTTTGTTATTATATTTATATAAATTTTATATTTTTGGAGATGTTGCAAACATGTTTTTTAATATAAAAAACAAAAAAACAGTAGGAGTTAGATTTTTAGGAGGCTTAAGTGCAACGGGAAATGCATTACGGCTTTCGCTTTATAGTCAAGAATACGCACGTTCAGTAAGACAATGATAGAACAAGTAGAAAGTCACGAAGCGTAACGTTAAACTAGAGGAACTTCCTTTAATTTTTCGTGTTGAAAGATCACGGAGAACATGCAGTCATCAGAAAATGTACCTTTCCTGTTTTGTCCAGCAAATTTGTAAAGATACTCAATAATTGTGATTAATGCATGTGTTAATAATTTCCTAAAAACATGCTGCGGAGTGTTATTATATTTATAGTACCGTACGTGATTTTCTGTATGTTCTACAGGCGTGTAAAGTCCAGGAAACGTAAGATAAAATGCGAGGTAAAAATATGTTTTCTCTTATTTTGAATGTATTGTTAGTTGTCTTATACCCTGAGAAAAACTTAGGTAACTGGTACAGTGAAAAGATATTGCTTCTAACTTACTTAGATTTTCTAAAATGCTGGATAAAAATTGCGCATTTAAACTATGTTGTATGTGTTCCATGTACCATTTGAAAAAATGAAGTTAAAAGAGCGTAATTATTAATCACTTTTTCATTAAAAATGAGTATTTCCATAGAATGCTCCACAAGTTGAGGAGGCCGCTTCATCAGAGGATCCAACCGACAAACCTGACGTACCAAGGGCTGTGAAAAATTGGCCTCAGGAATCTCTAGGTTTAGGGCAAGTTTCTGGAGTGTCTGTGAATTCAGCGCTGCAACCTGTCGTATTCCACCGAAGTGATCGAGTTTGGGATCAATAGTAAGTTGTCTATAAAAAAAGGCAAAAGAAATTATGTATTTACTTAAGTGACAGAAAACATGTGCAAAAATATAATTCTAATTGGTTATGGTGCATTGACCTAATATAATTCTACATAGAATTAATCTTTTATAGCACATTCAACGCAACATATCATTACCAAAATATTCGTCTTGGACCAATCAAGGATCATACCGTTTTAACTCTAGATCCTCAGAGCGGCAAAGTGTTAGGAAAATGGGGAGCCAACTTATTTTACATGCCACATGGCTTAACAGTGGACAGACATGATAATTTGTGGGTAACTGACGTGGCTCTACATCAAGCTTTTAAGGTAAGTTTGGAATGGAAAATTCAACTGGTTTGCGAATAATTAGTAATGTGGTATTACTAAAAACCGAATATCGGATCAGTTATTTTCATTTGTTACAGTTACAGTGTGTCAAAATTAGCAATAACTCTAATAGTCTCGATTCTAAAGGTACGGTTTTATTATACAGGGTGGACAAATGAAAACGAAACAGAGCCATTTTCAGGAACTGCGTCAAGATTGTAGGAAAACGCTCAGACCCGTCGATTTTAGATTAAAGGGGGACATTCTTTGCTGGTATTTTTGACTCCGCCACTTTCATCCCCAAGGTAAGCATCACCCCAAAATATTTAAATGGCATTGGGGGTTGAGTAATATTTCTTTTGAAAGCTCTTACAATTCCCTTTACAACAGGCTTTAAATTTTATAATTCCGCCCAATACTTATTAAGAATTTTGATTTTAAAGTTGAAACTTATGTACAAACAATTAGTAACGGTAATAATGTGAGTCATTCGAGTTAAGTACGCCAATGGTATAAATTTAGTATTTCTTGCGTTACATTGGTTTTTGGCGATTTGTTATCACTTTCGTAAAAAAAAACAAAATTGTAGAAAACAGAAATGAACGTAAAATTAGTGGATTCCAAATTATTTTCTAGTATTATTTGGAAGCGTTGGTTGGTAGTTTATTTAATTGTGTTTTTGAAAATTAAACACTATGGTTTATTCCATTGCGGAAAGGGTAGATATCATTTCGCTTTACTTTATGAACAATAAATGTGCGAATAGAACAGCTCAGCTATTTAATGAACAACATCAAGATCGACATGTCAGGAGGAAGTATGTTCTAGAGTTAGTAAAAAAATTTCAAGAGACAGGGAACGTAGCCAATAAAAAACGAGAAATTGAAAAACCTATAGTTAATGAAGCTAGTGAAGTTGCAGTTTTGGGACAAGTTCATCTTGATCCTACATTAAGTACGAGGCAGCTGGCATCTGTGTCTGGGATCAATCGAACTAGCATACAAACCATTTTGAAGAAGAATAAATTCCATCCATACAAAATACATTTAGTCCAGGAACTTCATGAGGATGATTATGACCGCCGTTTGCAATTTTGCGAAATAATGAGTGAGCGAGCAGGGAACGATCCACAGTTCCTTTTTAACATCTGTTTTTCTGATGAATGCAGTTTTTTCTTGAACGGGACGGTAAATCGTCACAATTGCCGCTATTGGTCCGATTCAAACCCAAGAGTTTTTCACGAGGTGCATACACAGCAACCGGAAAAATTAAATGTATGGGCTGGAATTTTCGGTGACCGGCTGGTGGGTCCTTTTTTTCTACCTGGTAATTTGACTGGCCAAATGTATTTGCAATTACTGGAAGACGCTATTGACCCTGCCTTGGCTGATATTATTGAAAATGTTCCAGAGTATGATGAGGATCATTTGATTTTTCAACAGGACGGTGCTCCTCCGCATTATGCGTTAATTGTTCGTCAGTATTTGGACCAACTGATTAGGAGAAGAGGCAGCATTGAGTGACCTCCAAGAACACCGGATTTATCGCCCCTTGATTTCTTTTTGTGGGGATACCTAAAAAGCATAATCTATAAAACACAGCCCAGGGTCGCTGGAAGATTTGCGTCAAATAATCGTCGATGAATACCGTCGAATCACTCCGGAAATGCTTCGGAATGCGCGCGAATGTTTTGAACAAAATCTTTATTCTTGTATGGAAGCGGGCGGTCATCAGTTTGAACATTTAATCAACTAAGTAGTAAGTAAGCAACTAAACATTTTTTTAATTTAATTGAAATTTTAAAATGTAAATTTTTTTCAAAGTATTGGGCGGAATTATAAAATTGAAAGCCTGTTGTAAAGAGAATTGTAAGAGCTTTCAAAAGAAATATTACTCAACCCCCAATGCCATTTAAATATTTTGGGGTGATGCTTACCCTTGCTTGGCGGTGAAAGTGGCGTAGTAAAAAATACCAGCAAAGAATGTCCCCCTTCTAAATCGACGGATCTGAGCGTTTTTCTACAATCTTGACGCAGTTCCTGAAAATGACTCTGTTTTGATTTCAGTTGGCCACCCTGTATTATATTATATTAGCTAAGTTTCGTTGCTGACAGTGTAAGTTAGTGTTTTCTGTCGGCTGCCGGGAATGAATGCTAGCATAGTGTCTTAAAAACCGTAGTCTTTGGAAAAAGTACTGTAATTTGAAACTTTTAACTTGTTTGCTGTTTGTATGGAAAATTTCCCGATCATTAGAAATATGTACCTATCAAATTCTATTTTCCGTAGAAGTATAATATTCTTTTTTAGGTGTAATACCAAATGATTAATGACAAGCCAGGAAAATATTTATTATATTATCTACACATAAAATTTTATTTAAACTGAGGAGCTAATGATCATCTATGGAATAAATTGCGACATAGTTATTTACTTTCAAGGTCACTTTCTACTAAGCGAAACACATGTAAATAACTTTATTTAGCTCATAAATTTATAAATATATTTCATTTCAACGTTCGCTAACCTATAGCATTATTAATAAGCAGATTAACTTTGTATTTGTTAATGAAAAGTAAATTGTAATTTTCATTTGGAAAAACGCAGATTTTTTAAATCGTAATGATATATGGATCGCTCATTCATAAAATATTTTAGTGCTAAAGAGGTCAATTCAGTTAAAGTTGGTGTTCAATTTATTTAACTCGACACACTTTTTTAATAATGCCAAGTGGTAGTTAACATTTTTATTTGAAAATTTTCGTTTAAATTAAATCAAAACGGGAATTATTTGCCTCCTTACAATTAAAAACACTATGTTCAAATACAGTGGTACTATAAATTTATTACACACTTTTAAATTATCTAAACATTATACAAATAGAACATTCTAATGGACTTAAATCTGGATATCTTACTGACAATTTGATTATTGAATGTTTGGACGAGTGTTCCCATATTATTCGCTAACCATCTCTCATGGCCAAATGCTGCTACTAGATTTGACTATTGCTTTTTTTCAGTTTAAACCTGGAGAATTGCAACCAGCACTAACCTTTGGTGAGCCCTTCATACCAGGACCAGACAGTAAACATTTGTGCATGCCCACTTCAGTGGCAGTGGCCACTACGGGAGAAATATTCATTGCAGATGGCTACTGTAACAGTAGGATTCTCAAATATAATGCTGCAGGAGGCTTACTTAGAGTTATTCCCAATCCACCAGGTAAGAAATTGATTTTGACGTGACTATGAAATCGTTCCGCAGACGAGTGTGAATCAATTGAGTTGCTTATAACTTCTGCAGGGACAAACTGATTAAGACGAATCAAGTAATTTAAAGTGTGCCAAATGAAACGCGACATGAGCGAACTTTATGATATTAAAAAACATTCATGAAATATGTCACAAGGTTATTCTCAAAGAACTTGCCAAATGGCACATATTTGTTGCTCTGTATATTGTGTAATAATTCATTTTGAACTCCAAATGGACAATGTATGTCTTATATATAGATGTCACAACTTCCCAAGTCCATACACCATACAAAATGGTATCCTTAGCGTACATCCACATTGTTATAAAATGAACATCCGTAGTGTAGCAGTGTAGTGAGGACTTCACACTAACTACATAAGTCCATCATCCTACTACTTCCTGCTTCCAATTCGAATTGTGTTTTGAATTATTTTTTTACATTTCCCTTTCAATTTCTTCTATTTTTATTTATTCCTTTGCCCTAAAACTACTAACCTTTAACAATAATTACGGCACTGTGTACTAACGATTAACTTATTTTAGATATTTTATGAGGTAATAGTGAAAATAGTTTTCATTTTAATAAAATAAATATGAAAAGATTCTGCGAATTTTAATTTAGAAAATTTCATATATACTCTCTTCTATACAGTCTAATTGAAAGAAATATCAATAATCAAATTCAGAATTGTAGTTTCCTTTCTTTCTAGAGCCTTTCCTTTATTTTTTTTACCTTTTTTATATACAGGGTGATTCACAACGTATACAAAAACAAAAATTGGGAATAGATGCGGCTTGAGAAATGGAGTCAATATCGAGAAAAAAAGAATTTTGTAAAATCCTTATAGTTTCCAAGAAAAAAATTATTGAAGTTGTAGTACTATCAAGCATTACATCACTGGATAACTGTAGTCTCTAGCGTCATTCGTAACACGCGTGGAGAGCCACGTGACCTCAGCGACTCCGAATACTGAAATCCGATTTTACAATCGTCGTTGCGATAGTGTTTACAATAGTTTTTTAGTAGTTAGTGTCAAAAATGGCATGCGTGTAAAATGGTATGCGTGTACTCGGAGTTGATGGATATCGTTTTAATTTATAGTGAATCAAGACAACATTTGTGTTAGAGTAGAAACTGAGTAGGAGGGATCTAAATGTGTTTACATCTCGGTGGACAAAATTTTGAACACTTGTATGTCAAATTATTTTATTAACTAAAACCGCAAATTAATTTTATTAATTAATGATAACAATAGGGGCAATTCCATTTATTTCTTTTCTTGCGATATTCTTTCAAGTTTGTATCCGTTATGGATTTATGGATTATTATGGAATATTTATTATGGATTTATTTAGCTCGGATAGCTATTTGGATAATCAAAATATTTATTTAGGCAAAAAAAGATATCTAATGGATGTAATAACGTCCATTAAAACTGCAGAAGACTTAATAAGACGTTTATGGCAGATTCATGTATATAAAAGCAGAATATCTTATGAATATTCAAAGGAATGTCTTATTGGCTGAAGATTGTAAGAATGTCCAAAACATGGACATCAGGACCATAAATGGACAAAAATCATGTACTATATGAATAGTAGAAGGAGTTAAAATCTTTGAAGCAAGATAATTTTTAATGAAATTTGAATGTGAAGAAACCAAACAGAAACGCCAAGCTTGCTAACCTTATTGCTCAAGTATTGAAATGACTAGTCTGGTTCACCAATGGATCCAATACAGACGAGGCAGGTATTGGTGGTATAATCAGTCAGATTAGAATTTGTTTTGTCCTCTGAAAAAGTGTCACGGTTTTCCAAACTGAAGTATAGGCTGTCTTGGATCGTGCATCAGAAAATTTCAGGATATATGAAACAGTATTTCAAGAATGTGCAAATAGTGGTGCGAGTCGCGCAGTTCTAGAGTATACCAATGCCTCCGCTCTGTTGAGCTCGTATGAACTGATTTCTTATAACCTGTGCATTGACGCAAATCGATCAGCTACTACTAAGTAGAACATTGGGATCATCTCAGGACTTTTGTCGGGAATAACCACGTCAATAGGATCACCAATGTGAGGTGCAGGTTATGCGGATATGGAGACAATACTCCACAAACATCCTCTACCACTGTGTTTGTTTAATAGTGAAATGATTCTGTAGCAGAGCTAGTAATTGTTTCCACACGTAGCATTCACCTGTTTTAAACTCTTACTGTTGGCATGCACAATGGGTACTAAGATTTAAGTATTGCGGATCACTACTGCTATTCACAACAATAACGTTAAAAATGAGCGTGAGTTCACTGCAAAAATGATCCTCGTTTCAACTTCGGTGATTTAATTTCAGCCATCCGAAATCGTAGAGACGCTAGTGAGGTCTTGATAGATAGGTCTTCAATAAATGAATCTACTGTGCCATCTCAACTCGACACTTAAAAAATCAAGATAAAGTTCATTGATTTATGAAATTTCAAACTTGATTTCAGAAGACTCCGAATTCGAGTCGACCCATTAAATCTTGAGGAACACTATTTTATAAAAAAATTGATTTTCGTTGACTGACTTAAAGTATTTAGATAGATGAACAGTTTGCAGTCTAGTGGTTACATCAATAAAGATCTTTTTGCGATGAACTCATGTTGTAACCTATGCCGAGTTTAACTGAGTTTTCATCATTGTTACAATTTTAATAATATGTAACTGAAGATTTATGACACTTTTTGTTCATATATTATTTCTTTCAGAGTTCTTATCCCTGCAAGTTCCTCACGCTTTGGCTCTTATAGAGCCCATGGATAGACTGTGTGTAGCTGACAGAGAAAATAGAAGAGTTACATGTCCCAGGGCCGGTTTGTATACCATCCAAGGAAAAAAAGAACCCGCACTTACCATTCAACAGCCTGATATGGGACGTGTATTTGGAGTCGCAGCAAAAGGTAAATTTTTACAAACGAAAGACTATTAAAATAAGAAAATTTAAGCAATGTACCTATAAACATGTTAAAGAAGATTATAAATAAACCTAAAAAAATCCCATAATTCCCACTGCAAAAATAAATAAAATAAGACTTGTTTTGTCAAAAAAGTAACTCCTCAGCTAGAAACAAAATGTACGAACTTCTATCTGACACCCTTTGGCTTTGAGAAACGTAGGGTTTTTCTATAGAAATTTTAGCTTTATAAAGGTTTGAAAATGCTGTGTAGTTTTATTATTATATTCGTAGAAGCTTCAGCTGGGTTATGTTATGATTTTATGATAGCATGATCTTATTTTGTTTAGGTATAAGTAAATTTAACAAATTTATAGACTACTATTAAATGACTGAAATTTGAAAAAAAAATGTTTAGACATTATGTTGACAATTTTTTATATTTCTTAGTCGTGTTTAGGATTTAAAAGATAGGGTAGAATATTTGCCAAAATTAGTAGTAGTCACCTTAGTAATTTATAAATTTGTATAAAAGAAGTAATATATGCATACTCATTATTACAATATTTGCACCTAGAAAACTAATACGAATTTTCTAATTCTAGTCATAAAATAAAAAAGTACGCCCCCGGGTGGGCTCGAACCACCAACCTTTCGGTTAACAGCCGAACGCGCTAGCCGATTGCGCCACGGAGGCACACAGTTCAGCACATTTTAACATATGGTATCATTTAGAACACAATAGATCAGTGTTTAAATGTTATATCTTTATTTTGGTTATTAAATTAATTTAATGTCAATAATATTTCATCATATATATCTATAAATAAAAAGAAAGTATGTAATATAAGAACTACGCATATAATTAATTGTTACATAGTAGATAGTGTCCTTTACACAGTTGCATAGCCTTTTATTTTATACTCATTGTTTTGTAATTGTTATTTATTGAATGTTATAATTAAGTTTATAAATTAAATTTGTATCAGAATCACAGAAAGTCAATATCCATTCAAAACTTGGAAAATATACGCTTTCTTAAAATAGATGCAACCCACTATGCAGATACAACCCACAATACAGTTGTTGAAATTTTTTGCCTATGGGTTGGTTGCATTTGAGGGACAAGAGCAATACTTTTTTAAAACAAAATGATTTTTATTATTTTATGCGTCACAACAATTATAAATTTTGTGTTCAAAATGTTGACATATGAAAAATATAGGAATTAAAAGCGGACTAAGGGGTCTAAGGACTTTTATCGTTTTCACTGATAAATAATTGACAAAAATTTTGATTTAAATTTTAAATTGTATGATTTCTTTTTTGAACTATAGAACTTTATTTTAGAAGGAAACTTAATTCAAGTAATTAAACAATGTTGTAATTGATAGATACGCTATTGTGCTACCAATATGTTATGAAAAGATCTAAACAATGTTCTAAAATGTGGCGGATAAATATTTGCGTTATAAATCTTTCTAACAACAATTATAGTTATGAATGGGGTGTATTTTATGAATATGTTGGTTATGATACCTTTAATAAATAACTGACTTTTACAACTATACAGGATGTAACACTGTAACATGTCAGAAATAAAAGAGCGTTTTCCTAGACCAAATTTAAAAATGTTTTGTTAAGTAAGCATTCGCTCTTTTGAGATTCACAAATTAAAAACTTGTAGGAACATCGTTTAAAAAAGTAGTAACAAATAATTGTTTGTAAAAATTTTAAAAGATTTAAAAAAAATATTTCATGTCAATCAGATTAGTATTTTTATTTATTTATTTATTTATTTATTTATTTATTTATTTATTTATTTATTATGTTCGTTGTTTTAAACAGTAAAAATAATTATTTTAAAACAATATTGGTTAATACTTAATAAATCATATGAAAATTTTTATTTTTTAAGAACAATTTTTTATGTTCAGCGCTTCGTCCACAATAACATCGAAAAAATATGATGACTTTAAAATAACACGTCCTTATCACATTAAAACAATATTTTTTCACTAAATTATTTTTCATTAGTTTCCCAATCTAACAGTTAAACTAAAATATATATTTACAATTAGTAACATATCTATACGAAACGATAGAATGTTTTTTTACAGTTATATGACGTTTGATTACATTACATTTACATATTTATTTATTTGATGAATCAACCAACAGTCAATATTTATCTAAAAGGCAACATGATGTGCAGAAAATTTAATTAAACGGATATCGTTTCTTGGTTTAAAGGCGTGGAAATCTGACTGTAAAAAACTGACTTCGCAACAGGTTGGCGTCTTCCNTAAAAAAAAAAAGAATTTTGGATTCGTATTCAGAGGAACACGTAAAATTTGTACATGTAAATTTGAATCACTCTGTATATAAAATATATGTTATGTTGTGTTATCTCGAAACAAGTAGAAACAACTAAAGAAATGTATGTGTCGATACTCATGTAAGGATTTGTTTCAGGAAAGTTGGTGTATGCCGTGAATGGCCCCACGTCTTCCCTGCTGCCCGTCCAAGGCCTCACGATTGATCCCCAGACCGAGTCCGTCATCGATCATTGGGCGCCAGAAGAGGTAATAAATTTTCGCTTTCTTCGTTTTGTACCGCGGCATATATTATTGCTTAATCAAAGCGTTGAGAGACGATCCTCGTTTCGGATGTGGGGTCAGGTCGACTGCTCCGATCACTGATTTTTTTTTTGTACAGGGTGCCGCTTAAATTATACAAATATTTACGAAGATATCGCTGTACTAAAATGATACTAGAATATCTTGAAAAACTGAAAATAGAATCCAGGTTTAAGTTTCTTTGGTCTTTTACTTAAATTTATTTAACTATTGTATTGCCAATAAATAATAAATAAATAATAATTAATCGTTTTAATATAAATTTGAATATTTATGTTCATTACATATGATTAAAAAAGTACATTTGTAAAATATCCTTCTATATGTCCAGATTTTTGTTGCACAATAGAACTTGTCTTTTTTTTCTATTAGTTCAACCTACTAGTATGCTAATTTTGTTACGATTTTTTATTACATACAGGGTGGGCAAATGGAAACGAAACAGAGCCATTTTCAGGAACTGCGTCAAGATTGTAGAAAAACGCTCAGACCCGTCGATTTTAGATTAAAGGGATTCTTTGCTGGTATTTTTTATTCCGCCACTTTCACCGCCAAGCAAGGGTAAGCATCACCCCAAAATATTTAAATGGCATTGGGGGTTAAGTAATATTTCTTTTGAAAGCTCTGATAATTCTCTTTACAACAGACTTTAAATTTTATAATTCCGCCCAATATTTTGAAAAAAATTAACATTTTAAAATTTAAATTATGTTTAGTTGCTTACTTACTACTTAGTTAATTAAATGTTCAATCTGATGACCGCCAGCTTCCATACAAGAATGAGGATTTTGTTCGAAACGTTCGCGCATATTCCGCTTTGACGCAAATCTTCCAGCGACGCTGGCTGTGTTTATAGATTTTACTTCTTAGGTATCCCCACAAAAAGAAATCAAGGGGCGATAAATCCGGTGATCGTGGAGGCCACTCAATGCTGCCTCTTCTCCCAATCCAATTCCGTAGAAAACGTTGGTCCAAATACTGACGGACAATTAACGCATAATGCGGAGGAGCACCGTCCTGTTGAATAATCAAATGATCTTCATCATACTCTGGAACATTTTCAATAATATCAGTCAAGGCAGGGTCAATAGCGTCTTCCAGTAATTGCAAATACATTTGGCCAGTCAAATTACCAGGTAGAAAAAAAGGACCCACCAGCCGGTCACCGAAAATTCCAGCCCATACATTTAATTTTTCCGGTTGCTGTGTATGCACCTCGTGAAAAACTCTTGGGTTTGAATCGGACCAATAGCGGCAATTGTGACGATTTACCGTCCCGTTCAAGAAAAAACTGCATTCATCAGAAAAACAGATGTTAAAAAGGAACTGTGGATCGTTCCCTGCTCGCTCACTCATTATTTCGCAAAATTGCAAACGGCGGTCATAATCATCCTCATGAAGTTCCTGGACTAAATGTATTTTGTATGGATGGAATTTATTCTTCTTCAAAATGGTTTGTATGCTAGTTCGATTGATCCCAGACACAGATGCCAGCTGCCTCGTACTTAATGTAGGATCAAGATGAACTTGTCCCAAAACTGCAACTTCACTAGCTTCATTAACTATAGGTTTTTCAATTTCTCGTTTTTTATTGGCTACGTTCCCTGTCTCTTGAAATTTTTTTACTAACTCTAGAACATACTTCCTCCTGACATGTCGATCTTGATGTTGTTCATTAAATAGCTGAGCTGTTCTATTCGCACATTTATTGTTCATAAAGTAAAGCGAAATGATATCTACCCTTTCCGCAATGGAATAAACAATAGTGTTTAATTTTCAAAAACACAATTAAATAAACTACCAACCAACGCTTCCAAATAATACTAGAAAATAATTTGGAATCCACTAATTCTACGTTCATTGTGTGTGTATAGCATTCATTTCTGTTTTTTTTTTTACGAAATTGATAACAAATCGCCAAATACCAATGTAAAGCAAGAAATACTAAATTTATACCATTGGTGTACTTTTAACTCGAATGACTGACATTTTTACCGTTACTAATTGTTTGTACATAAAACAAAATTCTTAATAAGTATTGGGCGGAATTATAAAATTTAAAGTCTGTTGTAAAGAGAATTGTAAGAGCTGTCAAAAGAAATATTACTCAATCCCCAATGCCATTTAAATATTTTGAGGTGATGCTTATCCTTGCTTGGGGGTGAAAGAGACGGAGTCAAAAGTACCAGCAAAGAATTACCCCCTTTAATCTAAAATCGACGGGTCTGAGCGTTTTTCCACAATCTTGACGCTGTTCCTGAAAATGGCTCTGTTTCGTTTGGCCATCCTGTATATCTTTTTGAAAGCTCGGATATTGTAAAATGTCTTACTATCCGAATATACCATCAGAAAGATAGAGACAATACGTAAACGCTGGGGCAAATATATAAAAATCGTCTATTTTCAAGATATCCGAGTATTATTATAGCACAGCGATATGTTGATTTCTGCTTAAAGTCAAGCATTATTTGTAATATATCGCTTTAACTTCAGAGAGAGCTTCAATTAATCTGAACCAACTAAAAAAAGTTTTCAGAAAATAATATTTTCTATTCTAGGATATGTATCCAACTGAGATATAGTTTTTTTTAATTATGCACAGTGATATTTCTTTAATAGATTCAAAAAGTGAAGATCAGAGACCATCAACTGTTTCGCATCATGTATTTATCGTCATCATTGTTGCTTTTACTTTAAAGGAGATTTTAAAAAATATACAACTTCCTAAACATAGCATAAAATGATATTAGATGCACCTAGTATAAAAACTAAATTTTAGAAACGATTTACTGGTTCAGTAATAAAAATAAGATTGTGACAAAATTATTATAACAAAAGTTTATGTTCAGAACGGAATTAACGTACAGTTATGGACAATAGAAATGTCCAACCCAAATTACTTATGGTCCTTTATAAAACAAATTCAAATGCTCATATCTACTTTTCTTTGATTATGTTTATGCATTATAACTGTTAGTATAAATCCATTTTGTAACGTTCATTATGTTTAGTTACAATCAATTAAAATTCTTATTCATGGGATAAATATACAGGGTCGTTGATACATATATATGGAAACGGTCTATTATCTCTTAAAGTAAGATAGCTATCGAAAAATCATAAGACACAAACGTTTTAAGGTTTTTTAAAATCTGTTACAATAAAAAAATAAATATACAGGACCAGTCATAAAGTCATGACGAAACAAAGTTGCTTTTTGTTTAATGGAACACCCTGTATATTAATCCATATTTCCATTATTCTCGAAATTTTAAACAAAATTCATATAGCACATTATGTACCTAAATTAACCGTTTTCGAGATATCGAACTATGAAAGTAACTTTTTAATAGGTACTCTGAAATTTAAATAAAAGGGCTCCAAATTATGCACATTTATTTTCAAAATAACTTTGACAGAAAATGTAAAAGCAGGGTTCAGGTTGATAAAAATGCATGAAACGAAAAAGTTTATTTTTTAATTAATGTCCTGGATATTTTAAATTTTAATGATTTCCCTGAACAAAATTTTGTAGTGAATCTAAAAGAGTGTTGGCAGGAATAGTGGAAATTATATGCCTTATCCTTTCCTGCAACTCTTCGATATTTTGTGGCTTATTTTTGTAGACTACATTTTTTATGTGACGTGATGTGATATGACTCAAGTCGGGTCATATCGGGAGACCTTGTTGGCCATTCAATTGCCCCTCTGCGTCCAATCCATTTATCAGGAAAAAAATCATCTAGATATGCCCGCACCACACATTCAAAATATGGAGGAGCCCCATCATGTTGATACCATATTTTCTGTTCTGCTGGTCTTCCACTTGTTCGTCCTCCAGTTTGATGAAAACGCTACAATGTTTTGGAAACGGTCGATTTAGAAATAGTTTCCCGATCGGGATGCAATTCATGAAAAATATCCATTTCTTCGCCACAACTTCTATCACCATATCCTATGATCATTAAAACCCTAAAACACTTGGTTTCACTTAAACGTGCCATTTTTGCGAAAACTTATAAGAAAGTGATTTTCAAAGTTCGATACCTCGAAAACGGTTGAGTTTAGATACATGCTGTGCTATATTATTTTTATTCAGAATTTCGAGCGAATTCGAAATATGTAATAATATACAGGGTGTTCCATTAAAGAAAAAACTACTTTGTTTAGTCATGACCATTTGACGAATCCCGTATTTTTCTTTACTGCAATAGATTTTTAAAAACCCTAAAAAGTCAGTGTCTCATGAGTTTTATAGCGATAGCTATCTTTGGGAGATAATCGTTTCCATATAACGAGCGTTCAAATAAAAACGTGGTCGAAGTTGGCTCTGACACATTGGACGTAGGTAGTAGCTTATAGCGACCAACTTAACCTCATTTCTCAACGAGCTGTATAGCAGCTGCCAGTTTCAATAAAGTTAATGACTATATAACTTTATTTTAAAGAATAATCGTGATAACAATAACAAACAATTAAAGGAGATGCGGAAAGTGTCCCCCTCCTTGTTATAACAATAAATTAAAGCAGCTGCTAAAAGTGTCCCCCTCCTTGTTCCAAGCACTTTTCACACCTTTTCCTCAAAGAATTAAAGACATTATCTAAGATGCTCGGGGTATTGTTAATTTCACGAATCTTGTCTATAAGTCGAGCCTGCAGATGGTTTAAACCAGGAATAGGCAGTTCAAAAATAGTGTTTTTAAGGGCCACAAAAAGAAATCACACGGCGTAATATCACATGACATCGGTGGACATTCATGTTCAGCATTGAGACTTATTAGTCGATTTTGGAAAACTTCCCTCAACATATTCATCGTCTCGCCTGCCGTAAGTGCCCTTGCGCCATCTTGTTGAAAGTAAAAGTTTGTAATTTCGTTTTCTTTCAGCTGGTTAACAAAAGGAGCGATAATTTCTTCTCTATACCTTTGCGGAGTAAGAGTACCATTAAAAAAAATAGGTCCATAAATCCTCCTTCGATTGAGAGCACACCAAACTCCAATTTTTTGAGCGTGTAGAGGGCCCTCGACAAAAAAGTTATCTGGTTTTTCAGAAGACCACATTCTCATATTCTGTGAGTTTACGTAACCACTTAAATGAAACCAGGCTTCATCAGAAAAAAAGGTGATACTATGAAGTTCACCGTAGTTGTTTAAAAACCATTCACAAAATACAGCCCGTCGCGGAAAATCAACTTCATGAAGTTCTTGCTGACAAGTTAAACGATAGGAGAACAAAAGCAAATCTTTTTTTAACACTGTGTGGCAGGTACCGACTGATACTCCCACCATTTGTGATAAAACACGTACAGAAGTTCTTGGCGCATTTTTCATTATTTGTTGGACATTTTCTTTTAATTCTTCAGTCCGCTTTTTAGGTCGGCCGCTTCGTTCTTTTCTTGTTACACTGCCCGTTTCACGAAAAACATTAACACAACGCTGAACTGCACTTTGAAAAATTTTGTACTCAACAACGCCGGGAAATTGATTTTGAAATTCTATGAAACATTCCTCAATAGAATACTTCCATATTCCATCAATCTGGCGTCCATTTCTAAAGTAGGACTCTATGATAAACACTTTTTGTTCTTGAGAAAACACTATTTTAAACGCTTTTTAAAACGAAAATATTCAAATTGATTGCGGCGATATAGCGCTTTGACAAATTACGTTTAAGTTCATTTGCTATACGCTACGCCCTACGTCCAAATTTTCAGAACCAACTTGACCACGTTTTTATTTGAACGCTCGTTATATCAGCGACCCATTTTTAATGAAAAAATTCGCACATTTAAAAAAGGTATCATTAAGTTATTTTGTTGCTATAATTTGCCTTTTGCCATCTTCTTCAATTCTACAAATATATCCTTTGTTGGCATTGTTGTGAACTAACCTATTGCATAGCTGTTTTGCTGCTTAATATATCTGATTGTCCTTAAACACTAAAAGAATGAATAACTTTTTATATACCTACTTTATCATTAATATACTATTTTCTGCATCAGTGTGAATTGTTTTCTAACTTAACTGGATTTTCCTAGTAAAATTGTTTTATGACACATTAAATAGTGGATCAATCCATATTTAAATAAAAAATAAAAGCTATATTTTTCTGTTCCAGATTAAAGGGCCATAAATCCACTGGAAGTATTTTTTTACATGTTATTAATTTAAATTTCAACGAGGAATGTAGGTATATTATATTCCAGGAAGGCTGCCATTTGTTTCAGCTATCCGGATGATTTAAAATCTAATACGTATTTACATACAGATTTAAGCAAATACTGTATAAAATGTTTATTATAATTTGAAGTTTTTATGCTTTTACCGGAAAATTAAGTAAACTTTATCATTTTTTTTTAATATCTCAAGCACTGACATTTGCTGGCATTTATGTATACGAGCTAATACTAAAGTGTCGCGTTCTCTTATTATTTACATTGGATTAAACCATAACGAAAAAATATTTATATTCTTTTATGTCGACCTAGGTAATATTTGCAATAATATTTTAGGGCTTTGGAAATCCTCATGCTATTGCGGTCTGCCCCAACGGATCAGCTCTTTATGTGGCTGAAATAGGACCCAACAGGGTTTGGAAGTTCGAACTGGTCCCACCTAAAAAATAGAAGAAGCGGAAACGAAGTATTTATTGATAATTTCAATAGAAGTAATATATTCATGTGAAACCTTGAAGATTTAACGAAATATATCAAGTAGATGAACACTGTTTTACATCTTTGTACTTATTAGTTCGATTTATTAAAAAATAGGTACCTTAAGCACCTACAATAGAGAAGATAATTATTATTAAAAAAGATTGTTTAAATTATTTATATAGAGAGAAAACTAAAAGGATGTAGACAATAAAGTAAATAGATAAGACATTTTTACGTTTATTTTTTAATTTTGTATACATGCAGCTATATTGAATACGTATATGCAAATCTGTATTTTAAAATAGATTTAAAGTCGTACGGAAAACTATTTTATTGAATATGATATAAATTGTTAAATCAGATTTTTATATTGTCACGATATTTAATTTTTTCTTTCAATGTCTGTTAAACTATTTTGTTAATATTTATGTAAACTGTGTGTAAATAAAATATTGTTTAGCCACCCATGACTTTTTCACTTCTTTTCGAGATAATGACGAGGCAAGTTTCAGAGGTACAAATTTGTATTTCACCTATATTGGCAATAGCGTGTAGCAATTGTACAATGACCAGAAATCCACACTAATAATTCCTGATATAAATTTGTATTTCGTTTAAAACTCTTTGAATTGTTATCAATTTTATGACGCACTAGACTAGACGATATTAATACAGAAAACTTCTTATTTAAGTAACTTCTCTCTTTTACGCATTAGTAAGTAAGAGAAGGGGAATAATTGAGATTTTAGTTGAACTTCCTAAGATATCATGATCGTGCGCCTTATTCAGTTCACTTTTATTTTTCTTTAAATTGACAATTAAATAAAATATTCGTACAAAAGTAAAAAAAAAATATTTTGGTCAACTATCAGCAAACCAAAGTCGCTTATGTACTTAGTTCTAATTTTAGGTAAAATATAAAAATAATAAGTTCTAAATCGGTCACACATAATTTGAATAAGACCATTTCACTTACAATTAGAAAGAAAGAGAATAAATAAACCATTGTTTCTTTTTTATTGTTATTAAGAATCCCTAAGGCACAATTACCTCACATTTATGTTTTAATTATTATTGAAAGTAACCGCAAATGCCGGCGCACCAAAATACACAAAACCTCAATTATCTTAAAAGTTTGTACCTTGACCATTTTAATAAACATTTCTGTGATATTGCCGAATTTCATTGTGGTAAAGGAGATGCTGAAGAACTCCTCAGGGGTACTCTTGCTTCTAAAGGTAGTTTTTATTTAAATTCTGTAAATGTGGCTATTCATATGTTAAAAAATACTCACTCTCTGGATGTCTTTGATATAAATAGTAAAATTGTAAAAAAATGCAGCTGATTCATCATTACAGCCACTTAAATCTTTAATTATTAATTTTTGTACGGACGCTTTTTCTGATATTTTTAAAAATGCTCCGTTTAAAAAAAGGTGACTGCAATAAAGTGGAAAATTATCGTCATATTTCTATAATTCCCGTTTTTGGAAAATATTAGAAATAATTCTACATGGGCTCTCCAGTTTTTTTCGTAAAGTAGTCTTCCAACGAACGTATGTCAATTTGGTATTAGAACTGGACTTTCTATTATTCATGTTCGTAGGGAACTAACAAAATTTATTGTTGAAGCATTTGAAGAAGTTCACAATGGGTTATTACAGCTTGTGATCTAACCAAGGCATTGCACTATGTTTTACATTATATGTATATTAATTAAAAAATGGGAGTATTATGGAATAAGGGGACTAACAGCTACATTATTGAAATTATATTAAAAAAAAAAAGTCGTATCGTAAACAATCGCAGATTTCATTAAATAAATGTTTGCAGTGTATACATTGTTTTAATTTGTGCTTGTATGTATATTATATACAGGGTGTCCCGAAATTAATGGGACACAGAGCAAAAGTAGATTCCTTACATCAAAATAATGCGATTAAGCCAAACTGACCTTGGTCCATTTGTGGCTAATAAAAAAGTTACAGGGCGTTAAAGTTGAAATTTTGAATTCGAAATTCTTAAAATTCTTAGAAAGTTTTCAAAGGATTCTTTTGAAAATTTGGATTAGGGGGTTTTCTGGGACGAGAAAAACGAATCCGTACTTAATATTTTGCTGTAGACGCTAGAGGGCGCCACGAAATATACTCTTGGTTAATAAAAACTGGTTATAACTTTTTTATCAGTGTGTGTACGAAAATTTTAATTGAAAAATCTTGTTCTCCTATCTATTTTTCACAAATAAGGGATACTTCTTTTATATCGATAAATTTAACCGTTTTGGATTTATTTCTTGTTTTTCTATTGGATGCAATAAAATAAAATAACATAAAAGTTTACATAAGGGATACATAAGTATCCCTTATTTGTGAAAAATAGATAGGAGAACAATATTTTTCTATTAAAACTTTCGTACACACACTGACAAAAAAGTTTAACCAGTTTTTATCAACCAAGAGTACATTTCGTAGCGTCCTCTAGCATCTACAGCAAGACTAAGTACGGATTCGTTTTTCTCGTCCCAGAAAACCCCCTAATCCAAATTTTCAAAAGAATCCTTTGAAAACTTTCTAAGAATTTTAAGAATTTCGAATTCAAAATTTCAACTTTAACGTCCTGTAACTTTTTTATTAGCCACAAATGGACCAAGGCAAGTTTGGCTTAATCGCATTATTTTGATGTAAGGAATCTACTCTTGCTCTGTGTCCCATTAATTTCGGGACACCCTGTATATTATTGGTATATACAGGCTGTTACAAATTCGCTTCTCACTACAGGGATCTCGGAGACGGTAAGAGCTATGAAGTAGCTTAAATGAGGGCAAAGTTGCGTAATCAGTGGACCAACAATATGCCTCTAAAAAATCAAGGCTAACATGATTAGTTTTCGAAATATTTGAAAAAATCTAAAATGGAAATCCGTTTTTGTTTAATTTCAGCCTTGTTTGAGGAGATATTGAAAAACGACGGACACTTTCTCATGGCCAGTTTTTGCCCTCTATCGAATGGCATAATCAATTTTTTTTTATATGTAACGTTTCGTCTCTCCAGGACCATCAACTTAATTTTTTTTAAATACGACCCTGGAAATTTTATTACATTTTTTGTAAGCCTTCATGACCCCCAATACTGTACTGCCTCAGCCCTAACCAGATTCAGACGTTTTGTCTCGAAAAATTCATCTTCAGTGTATTCGTTCCAAATGTATCTAAATTTTTTATTTAGATTTCTTTGTTTATTGAATTATCGTACACTGTAAGTGTCGTTAGACCCTGTGAAATCCATCTAGTTATTTAAACTATTACCACCACGCGCTGCAATAAAACATTTATTATTATTATTATTATTATTAACGATTACCATCACTTGGTCATACATAACTCAATAAGTTGTTGCGTCAAAATTAAAACATAGTTACAATTTTAATTTTATTATGACAAATTAATTCTTAAAAATGCATATGAACAACCAAAACGCCAACTGAATATTATTCTTTAAAAAATTTCAGTAGGTAAATGTTCAAAAACATTTTCGTTTTGGCAAAGGTTAAAAATGAAGATCAGCATAATATGATCGGAATTTATTATATCTGTAACTGCAACTGTGAAAGAGCATGTCAGATGTATTTGTATGAATATCCTGAAAAAAATGGATCGGAATTTGTTTGAATTTTGAGCACTCGAGAAGCCTGGAAATAACTATTGACACGGGAATAAAACTCTAATAATGTTTTATTTTAATGCGTGGTGGTAATAGTTTGAATAACTATAGTACGATCATATTCGATGCAAAGTAATAAATCATTGCATGTCAAGGGAACCAATGAAGTACGCCTTTAAGGGTTTTACAAATTGAATAATTTCTTTATACATTATGAAGGGACGAGGGGATCAGTTCAGGTCTGGCACCCTTGTTGCTACAAAAATTCCTTTATTCTCATAAACTATTTATTTTAAATGTAATTTATTATAAATCCAATTTGTTTCCTAAATTCCACATATGTACTACATTTTACCTCTGTACGCGCCACTGTTGTTTACTTGTTTTTTGGAAGCGCTCTCTAATTGACGGCAAAGCTCGCCAGGTTAGTATTTGACGTATAACCGACCAGTTCGTACACTCGATGCACCTGGGCGACTACAGCTACTACCAGAACACAGTGCGTATGCAGCGGTATTTCAGATTTTACATTGAATTTCATTTTAAATTTGAAATGATTTATCTTACGCCTCCTAAAAATGATGACACGATTTTCCTTTGATAAAAGGCCGACAATTTTTTGCTCTACTTTGCATCGTATACGATCCTACTATAGATGGATTTCACAGGGTCTAACGACACTTGCAGTGTACGATAATTCAATAAACAAAGAAATCTAAATAAAAAATTTAGATAAATTTGTAACGAATACACTGAAGATGAATTTTTGAGACAAAACGTCTGAATCTAGTTAGGGCTGAGGCAGTACAGTATTGGGGGTCATGAAGACTTGAAAAAAATGTAATAAAATTTCCAGGGTCGTATTTAAAAAAATGAAGTTGATGACGGTCCTGGAGAGACGAAACGTTACATATAAAAATTGATTATGCCATTCGATGGAAGGCAAAAAGTGGCCATGACAAAGTGTTCTTCTTTTTTCAATATCACCTCAAACAAGGCTGAAATTAAACAAAAACGCATTTCCAAAATTTTGTTTTTTTTTCATATATTTCGAAAACTAATCATGTTAGTCTTGATTTTTTAGAGGCATAATGTTGGTCCCTTGATTACGCAACATTGCCCCCATTTAAGCTACTTCGTACCTGTTACCGTTTCCGAGATGCCTGTAGTGAGAAGCGAATTTGTAACAGCCTGTATATGTGTGTGTGCGATATTTATATATACAAAGTGTAAGAAGTTTGACTGCCATTACTTCAGAATAAGATAGAATAATCATAAATGAACAAAAAAGTTGTATATTACAGGGGCATAAGATTAATAGATTTCAAAATACAGCGGGTATTAATATTAGGGAGTTTCATCACAACGTGACAACAGCGCTTAATCTAACGCTACACAGTTGATGCATACCACGTGTGCACGCGGCAGACTAGACCTACGGAAAAAATGTAAACAACTATTATTGTGAAACATTTAGTACATTTCAAGACAATTGTTTTCCAGTTTTTAAATAAATAAAATAAAATGTATCGATTTTGTAATACGAAGATGGTGTTGTGCTTAAATTTTAGCTCAAATTTTAGTAATTATGCATCTCTTAAAACAGGAACTTAACTTTTAACCAAATTATGAATTTGAAAAATATGTAATTAAAGTACCAAAAGATTCACGTCATCCAAATAATCATACGTATTAAAAATAATTTA